CTATAACAACTACAATTGTCACTTCTTCACACAATGACACTCATTTATCCGAGTCAAATAGTCTGATTATTTTTTCAAAAGAATTTCAAGCTACTGCTTTCTTTTGACAGGGTTTGATTCGCCACGGCTTGCATGAATGAAACTGAATTCCTTTTGACCAAGCACTCTATGTTTTTGTTAATGGAAAAAAATGTCTATTCTTGTCCGGTTGAAACCATGGTTAGCTACTAATTAATTAAAAGTAGACATTATTTATAATTTCTTCTATAATAACAGCTACATTTGTCACTTCTTGATGCAAAAAATTAGTTTATGCCCGTTAAATAGTCTCATTTTTTTTAAAAAAAAATAATTGTCAGTTGCATTTACTACCTTTAGAAGTTAATTTATGACATTCAAATTCAGCAACCCCATAATAGAAGCTTACTTTCATTCAATAGATTGAAAACTGGATCCAGGGAGACAAATCCCATATTAGGTAGACTAATGTGGGAGGCTTAACTGCTGGGATATTTTTCAATTCAATATCAAGTAGACTAATTACAGATTACATCTTGCTATTTTAGTATTTAACTATCATTGTGTATTATAGAAATCAAGTTTCTGTAAATAACCCCCTATAGGCTGCACTGCTAAGCGGCCTAAGCCCATAAGACTCAGTTTACAGTGAAGCAAAATACATGAAAGCCATGTACGCTTGGGGTATTAATGCTCAGGTACCAAGCAAGTTTTGGATATCTAAACTTAAGCTCATGTAGTTTCATGTTGGATATAAACATCTCCACACCATTGCTAAGTATAAGACTATGGTTATAGAAGGGCACCGAAAAATATGAACTGTCATTGCGAACATATCAAACATTTCTACATGAAGAAGATTATGTGAAAAGGAAGAAAGTTATATATGATCAAGCTTGTTCTGTGGGATAATATAATCAGCATAAGAAAAAAGAATAAAAAAAAAGAATACACATAGACCTAAGATATGACACAACAGTCATTTATGAACAAAAGCAAAAAAGCAACAAATTAGTACTTCATATAGAAAACAGGATGAATAAAACAGATAAAAAAAAGAGGCATTTGAGTGAATGTTGCTTGTATAGTTCAATATAGATGGACAAAGGTGGGCTTGTTAAGATGGATGAACACACAAAAAATGACAATGAAACAAAACAGGCTGTATAAAACAGAGAAAAAAGACACATTTGAAGGAATGTAAAAACATGTGTGTTACCTATGCCACTACTCTTAAGGAAAAAAATACTCTTTTGTGATGAAATGAGAATAGACGGCGTACCTGCATTATTAGAGAGGGCAATAGCATAAAACCTTACTTATATTCTATTCTAATGATATACCGAGTATATATAGCTATAATAACTTGTAGAGCAGTACCTTATGCTTTGACGTCTCTCAAACTTGCGATAATTTCGTGGATGGGAAGCTGGAGAGGCGTGTTATACATGGCAAGCTCTCAAGCGGAATATCCCAATCTATGTAGGAATTTTCGGCGAAGATTGACTGCGCTTGTTTTTTTGGCTGAGAAGATGTGTACGCAGGAGGGCTGGAGGACACGTTGGATTTGAGGGCAAAGATGTACTTTGCACAGCCTATTCTTTTCTTATACTCCGTATATAAATAGACTTCTCTCCCCACATCAACTCCATAATCATTTTACTAAATGCTCTTATTAAATGATATACTCCGTTTTATGGAGTAGCTGTTTTAGAATTTATTCAATTTCTTTTATACAGTATCAAACAACGGGTGTTTTAGCATTTATTCCATTTATATTTGTGTTTGGGTGTTTTATATTATGATTTCCTAATTCCTCTTCGTCAAAAATTAAAGAAACCAGTTTGTTTTATAAAAAGTAAACAAATCAAAATCTATTAAGTGTTAGGTCCTATATAGATACTTTTTCATCATTCGGTTCTATATCGATACATTTCATCTTTCGATTTCCGAATTGATAAATTTTGTTATATATTTATATACAGAAGTATTGATATAAGAAAGTGATATGAAAATGTTAATTGCGAAAAATACTGTAATAAGAGTATAAAATTGTTAAATTTTGCATAAGTACATTAGTTAAAATAATAATTGGTCAAATCTTACTATCTTTGACTGAAAAAGTCAAAGATGACAAAAGATGTTCTTACTTGGATTGTTTTCAATTCCAGACTAGACCAAGCCAGACCAGATTACACCAGACTTAAACAGACCACCATGTCATACCAGATTTCTATAATTATAAAATACACAGAGATCATACATTAACAAGACCAAACCATGTCTGACCGGACCAGGTTTAAACAAAGCAAAGCAGCACATTTCAGCCCAAGTAAAAGCATCCTAACTAAGATCGGATGGAGATAGTATGTTTTTGGGTGTAAGTGTTTGCAAAACGGCCTTTCAGTACAAAAATGGCGGTTAAAATTAACAAAACATACAATCAAACATTATTAGCACATTACATACTGATCGCAACAACAAAATACTAAAATAATTTTTTCAAGTTTTATTAGCATTAAAAATTCATTCCAATAAAAAACATTCTAAAAGTTTTAATCTATAACTTGTTGAATGAGAATTATGATTATGGACGCATTCAAAAATGATCCAATAAATTACCAATACAGTGTTTGTTTTTTATTTTTAAAAGGGATATTATCTTGCTTTATCATAAATTCATAATATAGGAAGTATAATGTTATCAAAATTAAGAACGAATGAAAATTGAGATCTAGTAAAGCACCATATATATATACAAAATATATGAGCAAATCATCTTAAAATTAACAAAACATACAATGAAACATTATTTTTTATTTCATCTTATCAGACTTATCAACCAACTTTTTAACCAACACATAATTTTTTATTTCACACGCTGAATTGTGTAATGATAAGAAAAAAGTAAAGTTGAAGTTATTTTCTGTCTGTATTGGCTGAAATTACTGTAAATTTTAGCAGAAGCAACCGATTCCAGTGTTGCCAAACGGATTCTTAGTAACCAGGGACGGATCCAGAAAATTGATTCAAGGGGGGCGAAATTTTTCGTTAGTGTAGATGGCGAAAAATTTTTCGTTAATGTAGCGGCGCGAATTTTTTTCCATAGTGTAGTGGGGCGAATTTTTTCGGTGTTGTAGGGCTATGCGGCTATTTTAATTCAAAAAATGACATTAACACATACACATTTCCAACGATATTTAAATCTATTACATTCTAAGTTTAGACGATGACAAAGACATCAACCAATACATTTTAAATAACTTCTACATTGTTTAACCTCATGAATGGGTTATTGAATTGTAATTTTTGTCTACCAAGGAGGGTGTTCGTGAGTAATGACTCATGAGAAGTTTTCTTAATATTACAATAGTAATATTTATGGGATTATTATTTTTAGATAATATGCACCACATATTATATATATGGTACATATTATATTTTAATATTTGTATTAATGCTTTAATAATTTAAAGTTTATTATCTATGCAATAAATTATTTTTTAGAAAGCAAGAAGTAAACAAATTATGTACTTTAATTTCAATAAACATTTATATTTTGGATCATTTCACGTGATCTAAATACTGTGTAATTAGTGTGTCTGGTATTTAATATCATTTGATATATATTTTACAAAATCCAGTACTTGTTATCTAATAAAGATAATTAAACATTACAAAACTAGGAATTTTTATATAATAAGTATCCCAAATCTTAAACAACGAGTTATTCTATTGTTTATTTGTTTAAGTTATGTAAATTATTTTAGATGTTACTTCTTTCAAATCTCAATTAAGTATTACATAATGTAAGACTATATATTAATTTTGAAAATCAAAAACTAAGGGGGGCGAATCTAATTAAATTATGAAAGTTCTATGAAAATATTACATATATGGTAGAAAATTTTGAAAATCCAAGGGGGGCGGTCGCCCCCCCGCGCCCCCCCTAAATCCATCCCTGTTAGTAACTACCTTCCAAAACGAAAGTGTACCAAAATATAAAATACATCCCAAAAACAAAGTTTAGTAAATATTTCGATACGGAAGAGGTTTAATTCATCATTTGATTTTTATCAAATTATCAAATGGTCACCTTTTTTCCTACTAATTTTGGCAATTTAGTAATGGATATTGGCCCCATTATCTACAAAACCAAAAGATTAAAACCTATAAAGACTAAAGAGGGAATACGAAAAAAAAAAAAAAAAAAAAACAAAAGACAAATGAAAGAGCTAAAAACTAAGAAGTTTTTTATTTGAAGTACTCCCTCCGTCCCTAATTTATCTTTCAAATAGGTTTGGCACATAGTTTAAGATAGTGAGTATTATGTGGTGGAGAGTTGTGCAGAGGAGAGAGAAATGTGTAAGAATTGTTGTGAACCACAAATTCTTTGCCAAAGGGGAAAGTGAAAGTTTTAATTGGGACAGACGAAAAAGGAAAGTTGAAAGTTTATTTGGAAAGAGAAAGTTTATCGTTGATAAGAAACTTTGGAGAAAGAGACCCACTCAATTTTATTCTGAAGTACTCCGTAGGACCGTAGCTTACTTTAAGTGGGCCTCACAATTCAATCAAGCGGACGAAATTTGTTTCTTCCGGAGAATAGCGGTCCGAAATACCGGATGTGAAAACTCCTATATATATATATACTTCCTCCGTTCTTTTTTATTAGTCTCCTTAGGCTTTGACACGGGTTTTAAGAGTAAAGTAGTAGGGGTAGTGTAAAAAGGTGTAATGAGTAGTGGGTAAATGAAAAAGTAGGAAAGAGAAATGGGTAATGGTAATAAAAGTGGGGGTATAAAGGTATATTTAAAGTAAAAATTTTCCTTAAATGGAAAGGAGGACAGATAAAAAAAAACGTCCCAAAAAGGAAAGATGGACTAATAATAAAGAACGGATGGAGTATAGGGGAAGTTCACATCAGAACCCTTGTTATGATAAACACCCCCTTACATGAGCACTCTTAATCCCATCCTTCCAAATTATCATCTACGGTCCTATTTGATAAGGTGGCGATTTTGAAATTTAATTAATGTTCCAGGCCATTTTTTTAACCCCGGAATGCAAGCAACGCATCTGCCAGAGCTACTACACGCTCTTTTCCGGATCTGCAAAATCCAACCCTTTGTTTCCTTCGAATCCTCACCTCTGAATCCTTATCTTCATCGTCGTCCCGACTCTTGAGACCGGCGTCATCCATATAAAATCCTTCTGAAGTCAAAGAGGTATACTTTTATTCTGCAACTTTTCTTCATTTTACATATTTTCGTTTCCCTCAATCTTGTTAACTGTAGCTACACCCAAGAGGTGCTCAAAGATAGAAATTATCTCTGAAGACATGAATGATGATTACATCCAAAATCTGAGTCCAAATTTAATTCGAAAGTCAGGTATATTTTTTGAAGTTTATTTTACTATAGGTTTTTTTGGACAATTTTATTCAATACAAATTATGTTTTTAAATCCATGGTTTAAATTATTCATATTTTGTGTAATCTTTGTTGATTTTTCAGATTCTGTGATGGGTGAATTTCATGAAGCACCAGAGCTGCAAGAACCAGACAATTTTATATCATGCTCTGCCATCAATGAATGGGTTCCTGTAAGTGAAGAGGATTTCAAACCTGAAGTAGGAAGAGAATTTGAGAATTTGGAACTTAGTGAGAAATTCTACAAGACTTATGCTCATCATGTGGGCTTTAGCGTAAGGAAATCAACAAGCAAAAAGGTTAAATCAACAGGTGATACAAAGTACAAATACTTTGTTTGCTCAAAACAAGGATTTAAGGAAGATACAAATAAAACTCAGAAAACTGAAAAAGTTCAGAAGACAAAACTGACAAGAGAAGGTTGCAATGCCCTAGCTGGTTTTAGAAGGACAAAAGATGGTAAATATGTGTTGTTCAAATTTTATGAAGGGCATACACACTTACTTGTCACTCTAAGAAAACATCACATGCTAAAATCGAATAAAGGGGTGAAGAGTGTTCATCGAACTCTGTTTAAATCGTTTAGTCGTGCAAATATCGGCGCTAGTAAAGCTCATCGTCTCATAAAGGAACAGGTAGGCGGTTTTCAAAATGTTGGATGTAGTCAACAGGATTTGAAAAACTTTCAGAGAGATATAAAAGCTTTTATCAAGGGCTATGATGCTCATATGTTCATTGATAATTTTCAAAGGAAGAGAGAGGTAAATCCTTCCTTTTATTTTGCATATAAATTGGAGGATGATGGTAGATTACAACATGTATTATAGGCAGATGGCGTGTCAAGAAAAAACTATGCATTATATGGTGACATTGTGTCATTTGATACTACATATGATACTAATCGATATAAGATGGTCTTTGCACCTTTTACTGGATTAGATAGCCACAGGCTTCGCGTAACTTTTGGAGCTGCGTTCCTTGGAAATGAAAAGACGGAATCTTTTTTATGGTTGTTTGAGAAATTTTTAGATGCAATGGGTGGACATAAACCTGTTTGTATAATCACTGATCAAGACCCCGCAATGAAAGCGGCGATAGAGATTGCATTTGACTCCAGCTCACATAGATTTTGCATATGGCATATTATGAGAAAACTTTCTGAAAAGGTTGGAGTTGCTTTTTGTAGCGATGTTACTTTTAATTCTCAATTTAAATCTTGTGTATATAACTCTGAAACACAAGATGAGTTTGAATTGGCATGGAAGACTGTCATTTTAGGATTCGGGTTGGAGAGAAATGATTGGTTGTCACACCTATATGAAATTCGGGAAATGTGGATACCTGCCTTTTTAAAAAATGTGTTTCTCGGAAGTCTCTTGAAGGCAACTTCTAGATCTGAAAGTGAGAATAGCTTTTTTAGCAATTTCACAAGTCCCCATTTGAGTTTTGTTGAGTTCTGGATGCAGTATGAAGGTGCAATGGATATTCAAAGACATCATCAATCACTGACAGACCATCAAACTCTTTGCTCTATGCCTCAATTGAAAACAAACAGCAAGTTGGAGAAACGTGCGGGTAAAATTGTGATGTTTTTTAATGTATAGAACTTTAATTTGTTTTTTTAACTTATCCAGTTATGTTACTAATTGATTACCTAGGTATGTTTTTTTGTAGGGTCAATCTACACTTATGCTAACTTTTATAAATTTCAAGAAGAGTTATGGAGTGCTTGTATGGATTATGAAGTATATGACAGAAGTGTTGTGGATGAAGGGGTAAATGTCACTATTATAAACGTGAGGCAAAACGAGGGGAAGAAAAGGCATGTGTTGTACAACCCTACTACCCACGTAGCACATTGCTCTTGTAGGATGTTTGAAGGTGAAGGAATTCCGTGCCGTCACATTTTGTGTCTTTTAAAAGGATTGGATGAGCTTCCGGCTTATTATCTCGTCAATCGATGGACCAAGATGGCAGCAAATAGACCTATATTTGATTTGCAAGGGAACATTTTGGAAGGATGTTCTCAAATGAATTGTGAGGAAAAGATAATTCAAAATAATTGGCTTAATTTCTTGAATTGTATGGAACCATTGTTCTAAAAATCGGCCTAGGCGGACTGATTAATCGGCCTAGGCGGCCTAGTGGGCCCTAACCGTAGAGACCGAATCGGCCAAGTCGGCCAAAAAATCGGCCTAGTCGGCCAAAAAATCGGCCTAGTCGGCCAAAAAATCGGCCTAGTCGGCCGCCTAGGCGCCCCTCAACCGACCGACTAGCGCCTAGCGGGTTTTAGAACAATGTATGGAACTAGCAGGAAGGGACCTGGAAAAAAAATCAGCTTGTCTCGAAGGCTATCAAGTTAGTTCTGTCAGAATTAGAAGAGTCATGTGATATTACACGACGAAGTAAGATGCATGAGATAGAGTCTTTTATTGGATCGAGTGCGCCTGAGGAAGTGCAGATTCTTCCACCTAAGGAAGCACATACCAAAGGGAGTGGCAAACGAATCAAAGGTGGAAAAGAAAAGTCAATGGAACAACATCAAAAGCGCAAAAGACTTTGCAAGACATATGGAGAAGAAGCATATCATGATAGTCATAATTGTCCCGAAAAGAAATGATGATCATATTTAGTTGATAGGTGATCTGTGATCATAACATGGTGTAACCAAGTGGTATTATAATAAGCCATTTGAATTTTTTGTTAACTGTTTTGAGGTGTTTTCACCAACACTTTATTCCATGTATGATTCACAAGTTATTTATGTATGCAGTTTTTAATTAAGTTAACTCGTTTAATTGCTGGTACCTTCACCGAAGGCTTTATACATCACTGTTTATTCTATTAAAACAAACATTTGCTTTGGTCATTACTAGTTCTGTAAGAATTATAAGGAGCAAATGATGTCATGCTGTAGTTTTTTGTAGGTTTATCAAACTGAAATCCATTTCTATGTAATGTTGTTATGGTGTATTACAGTATTACTTACAGCCCATGCGGGATTCGAACCCACATCTATGTGTATACATATACACACCGCTCTACCGTTTGAGCTAATAGGCTAAAAAAATGGTATGTTATTAATAGGGGAAAGTACGGAAAAAGTACTTGTGGTTAGACCCGTTTTCAGATAGGGCCATGTGTTTCAGTCTTTATCAAAGTGGTTCATGTGTTTGAATTCCGTTATCACAAGAGGGTCACGCCGTTAAAAACATCTGAAAAGGACCATTAAAAGTAACTCCGATTTTCAAAAGTGCTCGTAAAATTAAAAGAAATATACCGGAAGGTGCGCCTCAATAAGACGACCGCTAGGCCATCTTTCTTTTTTGTTTTCAGCACCCTTGTCACCGGAAAGTCTACCAGAAAAGTGATATTAGCGAAATCATTTTAAAAAAACAATTCAAACAGATCTGAAAAATCCAAAGGCGAAGGTGGTTTGGAGGTCATCTTGACGAGGCACACCTTTTGGTATTTTCTTTTAATTTTCCGGACACTTTTGAAAATCGGAGTTACTTTTAACGGTATTTTTCAGATGTTTTTACCGGCGTGACCCTCTTGTGATAACGGAATTCAAACACAAGAACCACATTGATAAAGAATGAAACACATGACCCTATCTGAAAACGGGCCCAACCACAAGTATCTTTTCCGTACTTTTCCCTTATTAATATTGTCAGTTTGTTCTTTTTTTTTTACAAACAGTTTGTTCCCTTTTAATGACTTCACATATGGCTGCAATATCATCTTGACAACACACATAGTAAACTAAAATCATAAAGTAGTAGTATCATGTAAACAAAATTGTATTTGTGTAGTGGTTGGCTATGCTTAACTAAAAAACTTTACTCTGTTTTTTTGCACTTTTAAATCCAGCTCAAATGCTTCCTCTTTTAGCTGCTGCTCAGTGGTGGGTCTCTATTGAAAAAACAACAAACCCCATTGTATTACAGCTTCAAGTTTGGGGGAGGGGTACTCAAATTCAGCATACTAAAACAAACAGCTCCAACATTCTTACCCAACCAAACAAAATTACAATAAGATACTCACAAATAAAAAAGGATGGCATGTTTCCAATTTAGAAAACTATTTAATCTTGGCCACACTAAAAAATGTCTAAATACCACCCCATCTAATCTGATTTTGCCAAAAATCAAGTGCTTTAGATTAAAAGTAAACAGACAAGCAAAGCAGAAGGATTACATACCGAAATTTAAGAATCAATGGTTAGGTCTGGCCGTCTGGGTTTAAATGGAAAAAAAATCAAACAGAAAATGGAATTGGCATTTATTTTGAAGGATATGAATTGTAAGGTGGAGAAGGGAAATCTCGATTCATATCCTTCTCGGCCGGGTACGTACAGAACTAGCTTCCATGGTGATTTGAAAAGAGATCAATAGGGAGAACATGTTGATCATTGTTAAAAAAAGAAACGGACAACTGAAGAGTGGATATCAAAAGGATTCAATTTGTAGCTTCAGCATATGCGTTGATTGGATTTTGCAGAGCGTGTAGTGGCTCTGGCAGATGAGTTGCTTGCATTCCGAGGTTAAAAAAGGATTCAGATCCTCTGCCGTGCGGCAGAGGTGCCTTGCGGCATCCGACGGGCAGAAGAGGAAGCAGGCGCCTCGAGATGCGGAGCTCCAAGATCTTCGGCCGTTGGTTTGTTGATCGGACGGCTTAAGAAAGCCGGGCACCCTACCTTGCGGCAAAGCAAGACAGAGGTTCCGGATCCGTTAAAAAAATGGCCTGGAACATTAATTAAATTTCAAAAATTGCCACATTATCAAATAGGACCGTAGATGATGATTTGAAAGGCTGGGATTGAGAGTGCTCATGTAAGAGTGGGTGCTTATCATAACAAGGGTTCTCATGTGAACCCCCCATATATATATATATATATATATATATATATATGTGTGTGTGTGTGTGTGTGTGTGTGTGTGTATGTATGTATGTATAGACAACTTTTCATGTCCAGCCGGCCTGACAGGAACCACCGTCCGGCCGAGGGCATTTCGGGAACTTCCCGGTGGAACTTTTTGATGAAATTTTTTGAGAATGTTTTTCATGAAGTCTAGTTTATCCATACCAAATTTCAGCTAAATATTCAATCGGGAAGACACTCAAATAATTTCTTGAAGTTCACTTGTATATTCCGGACCAGTTAACTTGCAAAAATCATTTGACGACCTTCCTGATTGAATGTTTTGCTGAAATTTGGTATCGATGAACTACACTTGATGAGGTACATACACAAAAAATTTGAGAAAAAAATACCACCGGGAAGGCTCCCAAATGGAGGAGGCCGGACGGGGCTCCGGTCAGGAAATTCCTGACCGGGAATATTTGTGTGTGTGTGTGCATATATATATATATATATATATATATACATACATATATATATATATATATATATATATATATATATATATATATATATATATATATAAAGTGCCTCTTAAAATGAGAAGTGAGAAGTAATCTCAACTCTTGAATTTGCATCTTATCCTACAACACAGTAAACTTATAAACCAAATATAGGAACTTATAACCAATAAATCATAATTTATAAAGCTCTTCATAATAATTATGAAAATGCCACCGCATAAAAAAAAATTCCAAGTCTCTGTAATTATTTTTTTGTTGTAGCATTTTTGTAATTATTTTCGAGGGGCTATAAGTTTAACTTCGCAGTTCTCAGCCTAAGTAGAGCACTTCTCACCTGACCCGCTCCCTAGCTATATATAGAACCTTGTTGGACATGGTTGGGTCAATGATGAATTCCACGTCTCTTCCAACATCTCTTTGGGGGTACACGTTGGGAACCTTAATATACATTCTGAATAGAGTTCCATCTAAGTTAGTGCAAAAGACACTATATGAGTTATGGTGTAATAAGAAGCCTATTCTTACACATATTAAAGTTTGAGGTTGCCTTACATATGTGAAGAAAATGGACATTGACTAGTTGGAACCTAGAAGTGAGAGATATTATTTTGTGAGGTATCCTAAGGAAACTAGAGGATACTAGTTTATCTTCCCGAGGGATATAAAATCATTATTTCCAAGACAAGCGAGATTCCTAATACAAGACTTGGTCTTTAAGGAATGTAATTGTGGGAGGATATAACTTGATGAAGTTCAAGAATCGCAAAATAATATAGAGGGCGAAAACTTGTTAGATGGTTAAAACAAGGATTCAGTGGGAGAATCAAGTGGAAACATGTCTCTAGGAGGATGTCTTTCAGCTAGTGGGAGTAACATAGGAATCACCTCGCACCAGCAAGTGATTCTTATTATAGTAAGAGATGACATGGTTGTCATTCTTTCTGCACCCACTTCTCCTTCTCTGGAAACACTT